TTTTTTTTTGAGTATGACAGACGTGCTCCCCGTGTTCCTCGTTGAGGGCAGTACTAAAAAAAGTGTATCCAACTGCAATCACGACCAAAGTTTGTTTTGCTTTTTTTGACATACGGATTTGACATAGGCCCAACAATTTGAAAACCTTTTGACGCTCCGACCTTACACCGAACCCGCCTTTTACTTCTTGTGGCGATAAGTTATTTTGCTGCAAGGCTGAGGCCGTGTACTGGTGGTTTAACGTGGGGATGGGTAGGGTAAGTGGCCTATCCTGTCAGAACAACCATTGGCTGCCGCTACCAGCAATCACCGCGGGTCTGGTCCTTGGCCTCTAGTACCTCTGAGTTTGTTCTTACCGACCCTGAATTTCACTGCGCTCTGAGTTTGTCGAGCCTAGGTACCACTCCATTTCTTTCTGGTACTCTCATAGAAAGAAAAAAAAAAAAAAAAAAAAGTTGCGCCCGTGAAATCAGAAAAGAAAAAAAAAAAAAAAAGTAACCTAAGCTTTGGTCGCGATTGCAGTTGTATACATTCTTCGAAGTGGTAGTGTGAGTGTGCCCTCAGTGAGGATATCCCAGCCCCCTGGCCAGGTTGTCAGATTCAAAAAAGTGAAGAGAAGGAAAGAAAAATGGGCACACGGATCCGGTCGTGAAAATGGTTGGATACATTCCCCTAAGTGCTAGTGTGATATGCTTTACAGTCCTCTGACAAAACACAACTTGAGCAGATCGTGGACAGCATGAGCAGATCACGGATTCCACCCTGCCTTGTTGGCAGGGGACTCATAAAAAACACACCACCAAAAAGAAAAAGAAAACAGTAACGTTCAGAATGTGACCGCCTTACCTGTGAGGTGCATTCCGTGGAGGAAGACTGTGAGCACGGCCTCTTGGACTACCCTGCCCGTCATCATTGCAGTAGCCAAAACATTTTCTTTTTTTCCTTTTTCTTTCTCTAAGGGGGCGCCGGGGCTGGGCGACTGCGCTATTCGGAGCGCTATTCTTCTGGCCGCTCCGAATCGGTGCCGGTTCAGGACGACGTCTAGTCGAGTCGGTCCGGAGCCCTACCTTGCCGTGTCACCCCGCCCTTGCCGACGGGAAACGGTGGAGCTTCATACTCTCCCATCGAGAGTACCGACTATGTCGGATTGACTCTTTTCAAGGTAGTCGAGGAGCAGGTAGATAGGGTAGCAATATGCAAGATTGGCGCGGGGGCCGTCACAATCGGACGAAGAAAAGCTTTCGGTGACTAAGGTTACGGTCAAAGGAGGGAAGTACTCAGGGTGACGTCCTCACTTTCTCGGGAAGTACTGCGTAATCTGGTGGAAATCTCACCCACGACTCCGACGATTTCACAAGAAACGATGGAAGCCTGACATCACCCGATATCACACCACTCACTACGTTGTGCAACTCGAAGGTAGATGACGGGAGAATCTGGGAGGAGCTTGAACTTGACTACTTTCTCTCCCGAAGAGGATATGCACCCAACGAACACGCGGTTGGCAGTGATAATGATGGGCATGTTCCCCTACTGGAACCCGCCCTGCTCGCTGTGGTTTCTGTAGAAGCCGTCCTTCTCGTGGTGATGTCGGTACGATACCTAGGTTTTTGCTTGGCAGCATACGACTTCGTTAAGACCTCGGAAGCTATGAGATCCGGAGGAGAAGTTGTAAGGTTAGGAGAGAGAGGTTGAAAGCAGTCTGCCAGTGACTCCAGTTGGGCGGTACCCGCAAGAGGGAGGGATATTACAAAAGGGGCAAATAGGAGGTAGGGTTGTCCCTAACAAACGTGAGTCTGGAAAGAAGGTGGAAGAAGGGAAAGACCAGAGAGAAAAGAGAGGAGGGATTATAGCTGGGGGAAAAAATGGGAAGAGAAAGCGGACAGTTGGAACAAGGAGAAGGAATTCAGGAGGAAAAAGCAGCTCCTAGAATATGCAAGGAGAGGGAGTAGAAGCTGGAGGGGGAGGTAGAAGATCACCACCTCCACCCGCCCCTCCGACTAATTTCTGGGCAATGGAATAGCAGACGAGGCAAGACATCGGTCAGTGCTATGATGAAGGGGTGGTGCAGTTGGCAGCAAACCTCGGGGAGGTGGTAATTGACGAAAAGGGGAAGCGGTTTAAATTTAACGAATCTTACGATGCCATCAAGGAGAAATGGCTAAATGAAAGGACTGGCATATTTATATTTCAAGATGAAGCTCGGGACCTGACGAGAGGAGTGAAGGAGGATCTTATCAGATCATACGAGAATGGGTGGATGGTGAGGAGATTGTTTAACCCGGAGATTAAACGAGGAAGGATTACTTTTGAAAGTCGGAATGTGGTCTCGTACGTGGCAAAGGTGGTAGAAGTAGCGACATGGTTGGTTCAGAAATGCTCACTAAAGCTTAATCTGAGGGGAACGGAGTATCAAGTAATGGTCAAACCCTGGACGATGAAAGTAGAACTGAAAGAATCAAGGCTGCGGGAGGTGGAAACAAATTTTTAGATCATAGCGCTGAGAGTTCCTTTGGACGCAATGTGTTACTTACCATTTGCAGCGGAAGGACTGATAGGAGGCATAAAGGCAATGCACCCCCCAGAGGCGGACCATTCGAAGCCAAAGCTGATTAATATTAAGTTGGACATGGACCTATGGGCGCGTTTTAGAGTGGAAGACTCGTTGATTATAGAATCTCCGAAGGGGGAGATTTGGACAGTGGAGATCGCCACCACCTACTCAGATTGGTGTCGGAAGTGCCGATGGTACTTCCATACTGCCCTTGACAGGAAGGGAGTGGGCAACGAAGGGCATGTGCGGATTCAAGACTTCCTCGACAGCAACCTCAGGGACAACAACAGAGAAAGGAAAGAAGACCGCAGCAGGCAGCACCGCAGGAAGCAAGGGGGACAAATGGACCAGCTCAGCAGCAACCGCAACCACCTCAGCCTCACGTTGTCCCCCAATTTGAAGCTCGTTGTCAGGTCCCGGGAGGGGTCCCACAACAGGCCCGCAGTCAACCCCCGCTTCACCCCGGTCAAAACAGCAGCGGCTACCGAGACCGACACTGTTCAGCCTGTGCCCAAGCAGAGGCTCACGGCTACATTCAAAATTTGGGTCCTGCGGGCCCAACTTTGTTGGGCATGCCCCAGATTCACCCCCCTCCGGCCCAAACCCCCCCACCAATGCACACGCAAATGGTCTCCTGGTCTCACCCACCCACGTGGTCAGGCCACCCCCTCCAAAACCCATCATTCCAACCACCTGGCCCCCCACAGAGCTATCACCTCCAGCCAGCTGCACTAACCCTTCAAGGGGGCTACAACACAGTGGAATATCCCCCCGCCTACCCAGATCCGGTTATTAGATCTTTCCCAATTAGAGCTCAGACTGGGTATGTTAATGGCTTGGGGAATGGAGGGGGGACAACTCTGGTTCAGTATAGGAGGCGATTGGGGGTAGGTTCGGGTACAGGTCTATCTGCAGATCAGGGCCAGAGAAGGAGTGGAGGTCAGAGCAATACTCAAGGCAAACAAAATCGAGGCAACCAGTTGAACCTCCCAGGACCAGACGAAGGGGAAGTGGGAGGTTGGGAAGAAGAGTTGTCAACAAGGTCGTCATCATCACAATCAAAGGTGCTAATGGGCAGCGGTCTAATTGGGGACGACTCGGCCATGAGAAGGGAGGGGTTCCTACGAGCAGAGAGATCAGAGTCATCTACGGGGAACTTTGGAGATTCCTTGAGGAGAAGAGAGGCAGAGTTAGACACAGCTAGCAAGAGAGAGTATAGAAGTAGAGAGCAGAGCAGACTCCCAATTGAAAGAAGAATGGTGCCCCTGGTTTGTGCGATGGCCGGGAATACAACATATTTTTTAGGGATGGTGCAGTCGGATGGTAGACCGTACCTTCCCTCAGTTTCTACGGATAAAACACCGCTCCCAACGGAAATCATCACGAGGGCGAAATTCTTGTTTGGGGATGCATTCCCAATCAGTATCATCCCCAGGTCAGTAATGGCAAGTTGCAGTGTCCCGCTGGACTCGAAAGTGGCGAAGTTCTACTTACATTTAATAGATGCTAGAATCGATCCTCCAACTGCAGATGCCTTAACTCAAGCTGGAGTCAGATGGTTCAACCTTGACGCAGTGAAGGAGCAGAATAGTCACGAACTGGAGGCCATAGCACTGTCGCAGGATGTTTCAGCACTGTTATTGCTACACCTGAACGAGAAGCTGTCGGAGGAGAAGAGTCTGCATTCAAACTTCATGAGAGACGCATTGAAGGAGAGTTGACACTCATCCTCCCAATCAGCGAGATCAAGAGAAAGCTCGAGAGCCAGCCCGATGTAACGCTCCCCGACACAGGCTGAAGTAAGATGGGGAGACGAACAGGTGGAACTGGTCGATGCCCGCATCCAAGCACAAGCGGAGGAAACACACACAAATGGTTAAGTTAAAACTTGCAACTTGGAATGTGCGGGGGTTGGGGGACACGACGAACAAGGACAAGAGAAGGAGGCTGAAGTCCTGGCTGTTTAACCAGAAGATATACTGTGCATGTAACCAAAAATCTAAGCTGGGGGAGGAGAAGCTAAGATCTCTACGGAGTTGGTGGGATGGACCACAATTTTGCTCCCCAACGCAAGGAACAAGAGGTGGGGTGGGAATACTACTACACCGGAACTTTCAAGCGGACATCATAAACGCTGAGACAAACCTGTGGGGGCATTGGGCTTGGGTGAAGTTACGGACAAACCACCTGGAGTGGGTGATTATGACGATCTATGCACCTGCGAATCCGGCACCGAGAGTAAAATTCTTCTCCACTGTTGGCTCAATCATCTCTACCACAGATAATCTGGTGCTACTCGGGGACTGGAATGTGTCACTGGATAAGGCTCTCAGCGGTGACTCTCGGACAGCAGGAAGGAGAGATGTTGTGGCCCTCCTGAATTTAATCCATACCCGACATCTCACAGATCCATTCCGGACTCTCAACCCGGAGGACCCGGGTCTCGCCTGGTACTCCAACATCAGGAAAGAAACCGAAGAAGTCACAAGGAGGCGTTTGGACTTCGGTCTGATAGGGAAAGGCCTGCTTCAAGGGGTAACACAAGTCAGACATACTACACATCCGATGTCTGATCACAAGCAAGTGTTAGTAGACCTGATACTGAATCAGAAAGAGAGCAGGGGAAGAGGGTACGTCAAACTGAACTCCCAAAACTTGGAAGATTCAGGCCTGAAGGACTGGGTAACAGACCATATCGACTCCTGGCTGACTGCAAAGCCCCACTTCACCTCGACTGCGGATTGGTTAGATGGAGGTCTCGCTACCATTGCAGGGGCAATGGATGTCTGCTCCCGCATACTAGCAAGAGGGAGGAACCAGGAAGAGGAAAAGTGTCGAAGAAAGGTAGAAGAGGCGGAGAGGAGGCTGGAAATGCACCCGATTTCAGAACGGGTGTGGGCAACAGAGAGGGAATCCAGGTTAGCAGAGTGGGAGAAGGTGCAGTTGGAGAAGCACACGTGGTGGGAGGAGACCCTAAAGGTGAAAGGGATTATTGTGCATGATAGGATGACACGGGACACTTTCCGAAAGCTGCTACTTAGCACCTTCTTTCATCAAGTGGTCCAGCTTTACCACCCCTTCGACCCAGAGGCACCGGAAGCTACTTCACAAGATGACATGCTAGAGTACGCTAAGCTGTACTACTCAGACATCTTAACGGCAAGGCGGATTCATGATACAAGCGACACATATTTGTCACTAGAGCGGGATATGTGGGAGGACACTATGGTGAGGCTGGGAGAGGCAGACATACTGGCTCTAGACAGACCAGTGACAGTGGAGGAACTGAAACGGACCTTGAAAGTGATGGCCCCGATAAAATGTCCAGGGAGAGATGGTCTAACAGTGGAGTTCTACAGAGCTTGTTGGGAGGCGATGGGACCGACACTAGTGGAAATCTACAATGAGGTACTACTCGAAGGTAAACTGGGAGAGTTGATGACCTATGGGGTGATATCTGTTATGTTCAAGAAGGGTGATAAGGCGAACATAAGGAACTATCGACCTATCTTTGTGCTCAACGTCAGCTACTATAAGTTACAAGCAAAGACTCTGGCGCTGAGATTAGGGAGAATACTCCCAAAGCTAGCAGAGAAGGACCAGGGGGCGTTTGTGCAGGGACGTTCCATTTTCGTAAACATCCTCACAGCAATCGAAAGTATTGAGCTCATCCAAGTTGAGAACCTGGACCTGATAGTGATGCTTCTAGACATGGAGAAGGACTACGAGAAAGTAGGGTGGTCCTTTGTCCTCACGACCCAGAGGAAGATGGGGTTTGGCGTAGGCTTCTGCAAATGGGTCGTGGCAATGTACACAGTGACGACCTCTTTAGTACAAGTCAATGGCCATTTGTCGAAGCAGTTCCAACTCTCCAGGTCACTGCGCCAAGGGTGTTCCCTGACCCCCCTATTGTTTGTTCTCCAATTAGAAGTTCCCCTCAACTGCATTCGGAGTCACTCACGGATAAGGGGGCTGCGAGTATCCGGAAACCAGGAATGTCGGGCTAAGGCCCTGACAGACAATTTGTTCTTGATCTCCGCCAACACAGCAGATTCTTTGGGAGCGTTGGAGGCAGTTCTGCTAGACTACTCACTGTTATCAGAAGCCCAGGTGAACTGGGGTAAGTCAACCTTCCTAATACCAGAGGGCTATGAGCTGCAGGTGGAATGGGGGATGAAGCGCGTCGACCCAGAGACAGGAGAATAGTTCCTGGGTGTAATGGTAAGCACTAAGCTTATGGGACTAGTTCAAGGCCACATCCTGCAACAAAGAATTGCTGCAAAACTAGGTATGTGGGGGTCAGACTGACACTTATCTCTATATGGAAGGGCGCTCGTCATTAACGTCGCGTTGTTCTCCCTCATATGGTTCGTGGCCACAGTGAGAGAACTAGCAGCATCTGTGGGGGCGGAAATCAAGAGAATGGTGACGCGGTTTCTGTGGAAACCAAAGGCACAGACAGGTGATGGGTTCATGGTCAAAGTTGCCTGGGAACTAGTAACTTTCCAAAAAAAAAAAGGAGGGTTGGGCCTGGTTGACCTGCAGCAGAAAAATCAAGCACAACTGAGGCAATGGATTCAAAAGGTAGCCATGGCAGATACGAAGGAAGACTGGATTCTACTGGCAGAAAAACTGATGATGAAGGACTGGCAACTTAGCAGGCCAAAAGATGTGTGGCTCTGCTTCATCGTTCAATCCTTCTTACGGAAGAAACTATCCTCCGAATTCTGGGACGCTGTGACGCGTGCATGACTTAAATAGCCTCCAGAGGAAAGAGTTTCACCAGCCACGAAGGAAGAAGTCCTTCAACAGAGTCTCTTCGAAAACCCCTTCATAAGAATGAAGGGGGCTACCCCTTCTCTGTAGGATCATAAACAGCCACCTTCAGTAGAAGCTGGATCAGGAGGGGGGTGTCAAGAATCGCAGACTTATGGTCAACAACACGAAGTGATTGGATACCCTTTAGGGAGCTGTACCCGAAGCTACAAGGCCTCCGGCACTCGGAGGAACACCGCGAGGCACTGCTGCAGGCAATACCGATGCATTGGAAGAGATTATTGGGCCCGGAGGGTTTAGACCCAGTGGAGACATGGTACGCCCCGGACCAGGAAGAAGGGGAGAGGGTCGTGTGGAGGGTGCAACAGCTTACAGAGAGCGGCTTCAGACAAGTGCAAAAATGAGTAGCAGAGGAATATTCTACAAAACTAGCCTTGGGTGGGGAGGAGACGATTATGCAGTGGACCCCCCCCCCCCCAAGTTCGAGTGGTCCAGTCGTTCGACAGAAGGGGGAGACTGACCTCCGCGACCTGGATTGGGAAAACACTGTTGAGGGACCTGACAATCGACCCGAGTGCATGACGCTGGTGAGGATACAGAGTCCCGAGGACCAATCCGCAAGGAATGAACTTGTCAAGTTTGACGGTGAAAGAGTCCTATCGGCTGACGGAAAAGAAGCCCAGAAACCCTGCAGGAGTAGCAGTGGCCAGATGGAGTGTTGTCATGATGACAGACCTGCGTGGGAAGGAGGAGTTCTTGAAGCTATGGAAGAATCTAAAGGAGATTCTAGACTTGAAACAGACCAACATTCTTTGGATGCTATCCTTGCTAGTCACCCCGTCTGCGGTGTGGCTGTGCAGTAGGGGAATGGAGGTTTCAATACAATGCACTCGCTGTACTTGGCCGTTTGAATCGACGAAACACCTGTGGTGGGATCGCCCAGCCTCCAAGAGAGTGTGGCGGTGGTGGGGAGACCATTCGAATAGGATGGGAGGAGGAGAAGTGAAGGTAGATGAACAATGGGTGCTCCTGGGCTTTGTAGGGGAGGAACAAACTGGTGGCAAGAGCTGTTATATGCTCGATAATCTGGGCAGATCGTAACCGATCCAGATTTGAGAACAGGCCTTTCTCAGATGTGGAAATCAAAGCTGCGATAAAAAGAGGGCTGCGGAGGGCCATCTGGGCAGACTGGAGGAGAAAGGCCAAAGGAGGGAAGGGCCCAAGGAAACAGCTGCGGTGGTTCCTGAGAACATGGGCGAAAGGGAACAGATTGGCAGGAGTCCACGCCACAAGAGGGCTGGTGGTGTCGAAATGGTAACCAGTTAGGATTCTGAGGGAGAGGGTAGGTAGGAAGACCAGGGCATCTCGGTCAGTAGGGAGGAGGCTAGAGAGTGCCATAGTAGGAACCAGGACACTCAGTTAAGTAAGGGCACAGTAGCCCAAGAGGAGACTGTCAGAAAATAAGGAACTGTGGTTTCACCGGGTCTTAGGATTTTAGGCTGTGAACTGTAATCAGATTGTTAATAGGCTAGCTGAGTGAGGAATAGTGAGTGAGTACAGTCTTTTCTGAGATCTTTAGAAGTGAAGTTGGGATAATGGATGGCATTTGGCTCCGCTGGTGCCCTAAGCTAAACTGGCTGATGCTGCCAGGATAACCCCGGGTAGAATGGTGGGGACCCCGGCCCTAATTCATTTGCGAAAAAAAAAATCTGATTTATGGGACAATGCCGACCCTGTGTCCCACCCCCGATTTCTTCGGGAACTGGCAAGGTACTACATAGTGGTAGGTAAGTAGTGAAGGGAGAAAGCACAATGTAATCACTGATCAACAGAGCCCGAGTTCAAATCTCTCAGTACATGATGCGAAAGGGCTACCCCCTCAAGAATGAACTGGCCACCCGTGGGAAGACCGAAATTCTCCGGACCGGGGGCAAGGTCCCACTTGCGCAAATTAGGAGATTTCGGCCGTTGATGTTCGCTATCTACGGTCAGTATCTCTTAATTTGTGCAAGTGGGACCTAGCCCCGGGCTACCCTCTGAAGATGAACTGACCACCCCTGGGAAAACAGAAATTACCCTGACCGAAGGCGTGGGGGACTGGGCCGAAGCCTAGGCTCGGTTTTTGCTGAGTTAGAGGCCAGGTTTTTGCTGAGTTAGAGGCCGGGGCGGGGCCTGGGGCATCCCTCCAGAATCACTTTCCGCTTTCCAGTCTGTCGCAACACCTCTCGCCGGAGACGACGGCTGGGTCATTTTGCGCTTGGCGTGCATTGCCAGCGCATCAAGCGCATCCCGGCCGTCGATCACGCCGCCACAGCAGAGGCGACGCAGCCATCGCCCCCCAATTCTGCCATAGCTCATCACTCCCGTTTCCTGCCAAGGAGCTGTCGTCCAGTGTGCAAGCTCTCGCTGTGGACGGAATTGCGAAAGAAAGAGAATCGCGTGGAGAAGGTATTTTCTCCCGCACTCCTTCCTGCTGTCAACTGAGCTCTTTCTTCCTCGGTTTCTTACCACTCGGCGACCACCTCCGTGTTTGTAACTTACAAGCGTATGTGAGGGTGCCCTTCTGCAGTTACCTTGCCCTCTCAGCGCGCGCCTGTAGTATCGGATATGTGGCTGGGAGGGGAGGGAGGCATCAAGGGAGTTAGGATATGGATAAGTACGCTGATACAGGCGAAGGAGAGAGG